AACCAAAACCTTACCCTATTGAATGTACTCCATATACCAAGTTTCACTTTTAATCTACTCTCAGTCAGCACTCTCACAAGAACTCTTCCTATATCCCTAACATTCAAATCCGACTTCTGTGATATCTAGGCCCTTCCTTCACAGAAGAGGATTGGTTTTGCAAGAGAGGTTAAAGGACTCTACCAACTCCAGACCACCACTCCCACCATTCATACACCAACCAAAGCTACTGCAGCAGCCACCTCACTCAACCAAACAGAAGAAACAATCCTATGGCATGCAAGACTAGGCCACCTTTCAAATTCTAGAGTTAAACTTTTCCAAAAATGTAATGTTGATTTACCTTTAGACAATGTTGACCACTGTGAGGTCTGTCATTTTGCAAGACAGAAGAGAGCACCCTTTCCTTCCAGTTTACACTCTTCCCAGCACCCATTTGATCTCATACACACAGATATTTGGGGACCAATCAATACCAAATCTTATGATGGGTTTTCTTACTTCCTTACCATAGTAGATGACCATTCCCGAGCTGTTTGGGCTTACCTGATGAAACAAAAATCAGAAGTCAGATCAATTATCAAACAGTTTTACACCATGATCAAAAACCAATTCAACCAAACCATCAAATCCATAAGAAGTGATCAGGGACAAGAGTTCCACATGACTGAATTTTTCAGAGAACATGGAATAACCCACCAAATGTCTTGTGTTGAGAGGCAACAGCAAAATGGAAGAGTAGAGAGAAAACACCAAGACATCCTAAACATAGCCAGATCACTAAAACTCCAAGCCAACCTACCCCTACACTTCTGGAGTGACTGCATCCTTCATGCTGTACACATACTAAACCGGTTACCTACCCCTATCCTATCAAACCAAACACCCTTTGAAAGACTCTACCATAAACCACCTGACTACTCACATCTTAGGGTATTTGGATCACTATGCTATGCATCTACCCTAGAAGCTGGCAGAACCAAATTCCAACCAAGGGCCAGGAAATGTATTTACCTTGGCCTCATCCCTGGACTCAAAGGTTACAAAGTATTTGACCTCACAACAAAGAAACCCTTTGCCTCCAGGGATGTACTCTTCCATGAAACCATCTTCCCCTATGCTTCCCCCAACACACACCACACTTCACCACCAGAACACACTTCTTCTTCATCCTCTCAAACTCCCACCTCAGCACATATGCCATCAGACATGCATTCAGATCATAATTCATATGTTCCTTTTGTTCCTAATGTTGTTTCTTCCCCATCAAGCACTTCTGGGTTCATCCCATTTGACACCATTGATGGTCAAGATGCTGAGGTTTCTGAAGAGGTTTTCGATCATGAAGAAGAGGGGGCACTGGATACCACAAATGAACTTGAGGAAGAACCTCAACACAACAATACACTAAGGAAATCGACCAGGAAAACAACTGCACCTGTCTGGCACAAGGACTACTACTTGGGGACAGGTGCCACTGCACAAAAGCACCAGTATCCAATCTCCTCCCACATGGATTTTTCACAACTAAGTCAACAACATAAACATTTCTCCCTAGCAGTCACAAACCTTCAAGACCCTATATCCTATCATGAAGCAGTGAAAGAAGAATGTTGGAGACAAGCTATGAGGGAGGAGAAGACAGCACTAGAAATCAACAACACATGGGATGTAGTAGATGCCCCACCAGGAAAGAAGCTGGTAGGCAGCAAGTGGGTTTACAAAACCAAATTACTTGCTGATGGATCAATTGAAAGGCGAAAAGCCAGAGTAGTGGCAAAGGGCTTCACACAAGTGTATGGTGTTGATTTCCTTGACACCTTTTCCCCAGTGGTGAAAATCAACACTGTCAAGACTCTTTTAGCTGTTGCATCAGTCAAAAACTGGGAACTAAGTCAGATGGATGTGAGCAATGCTTACCTAAATGGGGAGTTGGAAGAGGAGGTATACATGAAATTACCTCCTAGAATGGAAATACCTGGCAAGGTGTGCAAACTGAAGAAGTCCCTTTATGGCCTCAAGCAGGCTGGGAGACAATGGTATGCAAGACTCACAGATGCCCTGATCAGGTTTGGCTTCAATCAGTCCTTTTCTGACTACTCTCTTTTCACTAAGAAGACAGACCAAGGGATCACCATCATCCTAGTGTATGTCGATGACTTGATACTATCAGGAGACGATCAGGACATGATTCAGGAGGCAAAGGCTTTCTTATCTAAGGAGTTTAAAGTGAGGGATCTTGGAAAACTGAAATATTTCCTGGGTTTGGAAATAGCCAGAAGCAGTGCTGGGATTTCAGTTACCCAGAGGAAGTACTGCCTTGACCTTCTGATTGATACTGGATTCCTAAGTTCAAAGCCATCTAAGACTCCATCAGACATGAAGACAAGACTATCACAGTTCAACAATGAGGAATCAGAAGACCCGTATGAGTACAAGTCTCTGGTTGGAAGATTAAGCTACCTAACTACCACAAGACCTGATATCTCATACTCAGTGCAGCAATTGTGCCAGTTCCAGGCACAACCCAAGAAATCTCACCTCAAGGCTTCACACAGGATACTCAGGTACCTCAAGAACTCTCCAGGCCAGGGATTGTTCTTTGCATCAAACACTGATTTCACCCTAACGGGATACAGTGATTCGGATTGGGGAGCCTGCCCTGATACGAGGAGGTCAATTACAGGATACTGTACGTTTCTGGGGGACTCACTCATTACCTGGAAAGCGAAGAAGCAAGCGATTGTTTCGAAGTCATCATCCGAGGCTGAATACAGAGCTCTATCCCAGTTGTCGTGCGAAATACAGTGGATCACCCAATTGCTGAAGGACTTGAATGTCGAATATCAGGGTCCAGCCACCGTCTTCTGCGACAACAAATCCACCATACACATGGCAGAGAACCCGGTCTTTCACGAAAGAACCAAACATATCGAGATCGACTGCCATGTGATCAGGGAGAGGGTAAAGTCGAAGCTAATTAGCCTGAAATATGTGTGCACAGACAGGAACTTAGCTGACATATTCACCAAGGGTCTAAGTATGCACAGATTTAAATGGATTCTCTTCAAGCTGGGAGTATATGACATATACTCGCCAGCTTGTGGGGGACTGTCAACTGGAATGGGACACTCTGCCTTGAAGCAAAACAAAGAAGGAGAAGAAGAAGAGAGTTCCAACGGTCAAGAGCTCAAGGCAGAAGAAGAAGAAGATGAAGAACTGAGTTTCGGTTGATACGCCGCCGTCCCAACTTACTGCACATATTTAAATTGTAGGGTGTAAATATTACCTGTCTTTTTCTTATTGAGACACTTGTCTCCTGACGAGAGGAAGAGGCCGTTAGAGGCACTCTGTCCTGTAGTCACTGCTTTCTGTACATATATATTGCAGCTGAGCTGCCAGAGAAATGTAGAAAAGGTTCCACAAAATCCCTGCCTTTCCTCTTACAAACATTCTCAAGAAGTAGAGGCAACGTGACCTCTTCTCAATCCCGGTTAAGCCGTCGGACTGGACCGTCGTCGCTTCCCTCCTTCACCGTTGTTGTTTCGTCCTTCCCTCGCTTTAGTGCCGACCAGAGCCGCTGGACAACAAGAGTCCTTCCCTCCCTCAGATAGTCGCCGACAATAGTGTTTAGGGAGAGGCCACCAGTCAAACGAGGGTCAAATATAATTTTGACCGGCCGTCAAACATACTGCAGTTGCGTTATAACCAAAGGTTAAACGCGTACATCGCAGCGTTTTGTCCACCGGTTAAGCAAATCTATTGTTGCTTTTCGTCCAGATTGTGTTTTGACCAATGATTAAACGAATGCGCTGCTGCGTTTCAACCACGGGATAAACGTCCCAATGTTGCGTTCTGACCCGGGGGTGAAACAAAGGGTGTGAGGGGTTTTGACCAGTGGTCAATAGAGACGAGGGAGGGGTTTTGAGATTCTGTTACTCTTAGCTTTCCCGGTCGTTTTCTCCGGCAGAAGGGGCGGCGACAGGGAATGTATCGTCGATGAAAGGGCCGAGCAGAGACGGGAGGGAAGGTAATGTCAGGGTATGGTTCGTCGAGGGTCGTGGCAGTTCGGACGGTGCACTTATTTGTTTGTCAGCGGCGGTCGGTGGAGGTGGATTGGCGGGACAAAGGTAACGCCGGTCGGCCGGGGTATGGTTTGAAACAGGATTTAGATGGGCGGGAGGAAGGTGGTAACCCATGGGTGGGGTTTGTTTGCTGATATGGTTTCAAATTTTGATTTGGACAAAACAGTAAATATATATTAAAGTTAGGACGATAAATAGTAATATGAGGAGGATTAATAGCAATGCCTAAAATATATTGATGTAATGTCTCTCATAACTTATTTCATATAAAATTATGAACAATTTACCCTAACTGTTTTGGATGCAAAGCCATAGTTGTGCTTGAGCAGTCCATGCTTGTGCTTCCTCATGGCCTTTCAAATAATTCAAAACCTCCTCTTCCAATTTTTTTTATTGTTGTGTTGGTGGTTGTTAGGTTGTTTCAAATAACCCAAAGCACCACAATCTAGTATTTTTTATGAGTGGACTCACTGAGTTGGATTTAGGTTTGATGAAACATGATTCATTCTAATCCATTCAAGTCGTACTTTAAAGACTACATGCTTTTCTCCCCTTATGCTTATTTGCTAATTGGTGGTATTACTCTTTTAGTAAGTCGCTTATGCTTTAAGGGGTTGTTCGATGTCGATGTAACAATTGAATGAGATAATTTCACACCGTTATTTTAAAATTAAGCAAATAGATGAAATGATCCCTTTTGTCAATATAATCACGACGCGATAATTGGATCAAAACTATTTGAATTGACTCATTTTGCATCAATTGAAATTGAAGGGGGGGGGGCAAATATTGTGAAATTATGTGTATGAGAAAATTGTGGGGCAACTGAGTCATTTAGGAGTAGTTTGGATGAGTAATTCTAACGAATCAATTTAACAGCATAAAATTTGGATGAAACAATTTAATCTAAGTACTTTCGAATTGATCTGTTTATAAGATTGTCTATAATAGGGCAAGTAGTTCGAATTGTCTTGTTATAAATCGTCCGTTTTGTAAAATGAGATAGTTGATAAATTAGCTCGTTGTCAACTACTACCTCAACTACTACCGTGGCAAAAAAGAAGGGGAGAAAACGCTTCGCAGGAAGAGCAGCTACTAGACCAGTAGAGCTTTGGTTTTGTTGGCTTGGTCATCTTAGCTAGAAAGTGAAAGTTAACAATTCTATGGAACCATACAAGAAAGCAAGGCAATTATACAGATGCACAGACGTAGGATTCAAAAGACCAAGGGTCAAATCTCACTGCAAATTTAGGAAACAACAAAGAATCTTCAGTACCCTATGAAGAGAGATATTGGGATATATACAAAGGATTTAACACTTAACAGAGCTTCTAAAAGCTCTAAATCATAGAAAGGGGTTTGATTGAACTTCTGATGCTGCCCATAAGCTGCAGTTTGGTTTTGCCTTTCTAGGTCTGCAAGGGATCACCCAGTTCTTTAATCCGGGATGTAGAAATCAAATCTGACATCAACTGCACCAGATTGGTCTCCGGTTTCTTTGTATTCAATGTTGGTGATTGATCCAACGTCCTCGGCATCTAGATACTCTGGCTTCACACGTCGAACAGGTACTGTGACAGAGTACATAGTTCCAAGGTCTGTGTCGGTGGTGACATTCAGTTGAACTTTATCCTGCGATTCGATCTCCACAAACTCTGACAGAGCATGCACAATGTTGTTGACGATCTTCCTCTTAGCCTCATCGCTCACTGCACATCGGTCGGAGAATAGGATCATCTTCAACCGCTGTTTGGCAATCCTCGCATTTGAGCTCTTTCTCCGGGCAGGTGATGGGAAGACTATCTTCCAAGCCAAGTTCAAGCGCTCGAAGAAGTTCATGTGTATGGCATTCAGAATAAAGGTCTCAGCATCTTCAGAGAATGAAGAGGACAGTTGATGATAATCTTCAGACACTCCAGCCGAACATCTGGCAGGACCATGTGTGCTTCTACGATTCTCAAGCATGTTGATGGCAGGAGGACACTTGTGTGTCAGCTGATAAGAGGTCCCCGATCCTCTACTAGGAAAAGCATTGAAGTCCACCTAGAGAAATAGAGCACCAGAAAGGCTCAGTTTTTCCCCCAACAACAGATTTGCTTTGCTATTCATTGATTAAGCACTACACATGCTTAGTTCTTAATGCAGTTCAGCATTCATTCAGTCAGACTCACAGGACATGTAAAATACAACGTCAGTCATTCAACCATACTTCTAAGCCATAATTTATAATATCATGGAATGAAAATAACATGCTGAAAGAAATGTCAATTGATGCGAGAGGCGGAAGTGTAAACATATGCAGTTCCAGACTACGAGATGAAATAATTAGAGAATGCCATCTAAGCCAAATTTCAAGTTTGAAGAAATCCAACACCGCCAAGTACAAAAGAAGGGGCACCCGACCTACAGGCCATTAATACACGTCGATAGTAGAACTACTCAGCGTCCAAGGACTCCATAAACTCCTATTATCATACACAATGCATCAAGATGCATACCTGGGTAATGCAAAGACCAATCCAATAACAGAGTGATCCGGCAATCCAAATATTGGCAACCAAAAATTAATAGGACACCGGGTGCAGCATAGAATATCAGAGTTATGAAATGCAAGTAAGACAACATGAAGCCCTCACTAGATTTAAGAGCTCTACAACGTTTTCAAGTGCATATGGCGTAAACGACTTACAGCCACCATGAGCAAGTTAATGAGAGGAAACGGAGGACAACAAACAAGTAAAATCCATGGCTAAACCCTAAACTTTATACACCAAATCCCTAAATTATATAGCAAGAAACAACTTCCCAACCAAAATGACAAGTGAACCAAACCTTACAGCCTCATGAAGTTCACAACCATAAGGGAAAGAAAGAATTCCAAACTAACACTTGGCTGGTGGCTGCAAACACGTAAATCGCTCATAGAGCTCGAATCCTCATTTCCCTCTAGGAAAGAAGAACAGTTCCACAACTACTTCACATGATCCCAAGCTTTTCACATTTCAGTCTGTCAACAAATTTTCAATCATACCCAGCTATTGAAACAGTCAAATGCGAAGAATTTCAACAAAACCCACACACAAGGGCAGAAGGAATCAACGATGGACATGGTGCAAAGAAGGGGGAACCAAGCAAAGGAAGCAGCTTAACAGAACCTTAGAATTCGAAGAAGAATGCAAGCTCAGAAGAGGGTGCTTAGGGTAAGACGCTAGTGTTGCAGTGACTCTCAGATCCCCCGATATCGCCATTTTCGAAGGGCAAAGCTTCGTCGCTCAGTCTTTGGCACTTTGCTTATTGCTACCTCCGCCGCTTTTTCTCAACGGCCCAGAAATGATATTTTTAGCCTCTCACTCACAGCCTCCAAACGGCAGCGTTCCGTCCCGTCCCGTCCCCTTTGTTCTTTTCTTCTTCGCTTCTCTATGAACCGGATTGTACAATTGGGATAATAAGAGATTATATAATAAGTTTCATTTGGAAGTTGTCCTAGTTTTGTTGAAATTGTCATTATGCATGTATTGTTTACAATTCATTGTTTTTTTTTTGTTTTTTTAGCAGAAACAATACATGGATTGTTTATGTAATGTGACAGAAACTATCACTTATTTTGAGTGATTGTTATATCTCAACTTTTAGTTGTGATTGTTGAGATAGTTGAGTTGAGATTGTTTTGTCTCAGCTTTTAGCCGATGCGACATACACAATCACACATACCAAACGTTGTATTCTACAATGCTTTAAATTCGACAATACATGTATAATATTATACATGCATTCTCAACAATACATCTATTTAACAATTGTAACTTTCAAACGATCCCTAAATGTCTCAAAATATTGGGTATCAAAGAGTAAATAAACGACGGCAGAAAAATAAAGGCGAGCTGGATATCGTAGGTCGAGACTCAGCTTGTACGAAGAAGAAGAAGAAGAAGAAGAAGAAGAAGAAGAAGGGCGTGGCAAAGAGGAAGGACGAGTACGAATCGGCCTTCAATCAAATTGGAATCACTAGTTTCAATATGCAGCTGCCAACCACCTTAGGAACTCGAAGAAGCCCACATCCTTCGAAACCTCAAATTTCAAGACCCTATTGATTTTTCCTTCTAGAGTTAATGGGTAGATGGCGAGCTGCTGCTTCGCTACTCCTCAATCACACTTCCAGAAGAAGACCCACAAAGACCCTTTTTGATAACCATCCACGTCTTTGGCTGAACCTCCATCGTTCTGCTTCTTATTCGTCTTGCTGTCGGCCATGTCAAAGACCTCCGCAGGGGTTTTATTCATTCTGGTTCAGGTCGTTTTCGGCTTACCCTTCTCGGGTTCCAGCTTATTCCAGCGACAATGAATCTGGGTCTCATGAGAATTTTCCCATGGAGCTAAAGGAAGACGAGAGCGACGTTGGGAAGATTCCGGTCAGAGCCTACTTCCTCTGCACCAGGTCTGTTAAACGCCTCTACGACCCAAATTTATTCAACTGTCTTTGTTGCTAAAAGCTCTGTCCTGTTCCGTCAAGCTTGGATTGGGTTGTGTTCAAGTTATGCCTTTACCCATGTGGAGCTGAATTGCGGAGCTGTTGCGTTTTTTTGTTTGGAATTGTAGTGCTTTTTGTAATACTCAACTCAACAAGAATGGATTTGCGCTTCATTACCTAATGCACACCAGATTTAAAATTTATCTAAACAATGTTGGTCGGTAAGGGGAGGTTTAGAATAATTGTTCCAAGATGGTGCTTCACCGTTGCTTCATATCCTGCAAATCTAATGTGCTATGTTTGATTTTAGTTAGGTAATTCTTTAGCAACATCGGCTCTCTGTAGCGACCTGCAATGTGTTTAACTCACTTGGTTTTGGAATGCTGATAATCTGCTCAACTAGCCTCCTTTGAAGTCAGCTTAGATGAGGGCGATCAATAGGTTTGTTGTGCTTCAAGTTTTACTCACGTTTACTGTGTCCCTCTAGCTAAGTTGTTGGGATTAATTTTTGGAACTGTTTACTTCCAAAGAACTGACTCGGAAATGCAACTTCTTGCTACTTGTGTTCTTCTTCTCCATATGCTTTCTGGTTTCACTTTGTCTTACCTTTACTGCTTTTATTTTTCCTCCTCGTGATGGTTCTCAGATTCGTCGTTTTGGCAGTATTGATTTGAAGAGCATGCAAGGGGAGCACTTAATCAATGTTGTTCCTCCTACCTCTCGTTCAACAAATTATATTGTCCTGAGATACTATGATTACCAACCTGAAATTACTGTAAGTAAAAGAACGAACTTGATCCTTCAAATACTCGGATTATTTTATGCCTCCTGTGCCGCTGCCACTGCCGTTACATTCATTCTAGGTATTGTAAAAGCTGTTATGTGATGGAAATATGGCGATGATTCAGGCACTTGGAATCAAAGAGAATGTGAGCTGTCGGTACATGGTTGTTTTCCAGTATGGTTCTGCTGTTCTTATCAACATTGAAGACCATGAAGTTGAAAGTTACTTAGATTTAGTGCGGAGACATGCTTCAGGATTGCTACCTGAGACAAGGAAAGATGGTAAATCTCTCTACTAAGATTCTGTGTGTGATCTGAATAAGTAGAGTCGGAGTTTGTGCACGTCGTTTGAAAACAAGAAAAACTTCTGGCTCATTATCTACCTTACCTTGATGTTCCCGTTGTCTCTCAGATTATGCCATAAAAGAGAAACCATGCCTAGAAGACGACATGCAAGGAGGTCCAGACTACATTGTCCTAAAAACTTTAGATACTGACAGCATCCGTATTATTGGAAGTGTACTTGGCCAAAGTATTGCTCTAGATTATTTTGTTTCACAGGTAATATGGTTTTGAATTCATTTAGCTTGTTGGTGGCTACAGAGAAGCTAATGTTAAGATTTCTACAAGCTATTCTGTAACTTTCACTTGTGTAAGAGCATAATTTGCCTCTCTCAGGTTGATGGAATGGTAGAAGAGTTTGCCGGCATAAACCGTGGAATGGAGAAAACTGGAACATTTACAATGGACAGGACAACACTCATCAAACTGGTGGGGAAGGCTAATTCTAATCTTGCTGACGTAATTCTTAAAGTTGGTCTTTTTGAAAGGTAATCAAAAGAGAAGAACCATAACAGACATTTCCCAGCCTTGTAATTTGAATGAAAGCTCGGACCGAATTTGGCTATTGATCCAATCACTTCTGCTTCTCAAGGTCTGAAATTGCTTGGAAGGATGCAAAATATTCTCAAATATATGAGTACCTTAGGGATGAATACGAGGTGGCTCAACGATTCGGAAGCTTGGATTTCAAATTGAAATTCGTGGAGGTTTGCTTTCTCTCAACTTTCTGAAACTAAAGTTTTCGTATTACCCTTTCTTGGGTTTCTTCTGGCACTAAAAAAGACCAACCCTTTTTGCGCTGGCTTTTTTCCTTTCTGCAGCACAACATTCATTTCCTTCAAGAGGTGATACAGAACAGGCGATCTGATCTTCTGGAGTGGTGCATCATCTTCCTCTTAACTTTGGAGAATGCAATATCAATATATGAGATAGTGAGCGGTTCTTAGGTTTGTTTGCTTATACCTTTTCTTTTGACAGAGCAGAATATGGTGAGAATCTAGGCTCATTATTAGTGACGGTAATTGTTATAGGAAGAATGATTGTTTCAGAACCACAGGAGATTGAAAATTTTGTGAGCAACTCCTCCATTTTGTAATGCCACATTCTATCTAATGAAAGAAGAAATTCGCAGAGTTTGCAATTTCTGTTCATATTAAGGCAAAATGCCTTTGTATGGCCCAACTTCTTACCATCTGGACAAAAATGGTGACTGTGACCCTAAAATATAAATGATGGAAGTTTTGGAAGATATGTAGATATGATCAACGACAGACTGTTCCACTTATTGGTCTTGTGGGTAAGGATGAACACGATGCTTAAAAATTATTGGAGGAATAACTCGCTCTTCTACACAATGTTAGATTAGGAAGACCCTAATTTTCTGTATCCGCCATTCGGTCACCGTAAGAGCAACCTATAAATCGTTTACAAGTTGGATTAAGAGCAACTTTCGTCTCTTTTTTTCGCTCTTTAACGTTCATGTTGACAAATTCTCTTTAATTTGCATGCTGTGTGCATCAGTTTAAATGACGAAGTCACGAAACCACTTATCAATTCTGCTTAAGTCGAGTAATTGTGACATCAAATTGTATAAACATAAATCTTGGTTTCTACTATGTAATACACAGTTCTTCTTCTCGTCCCCTCCCATGAATGAATAGACCCTTAAAATTATGACTGTTCCTAGTGGTGAACTTTGTATCTTCATCCTGCTCTAATAGCTTTGCAAGAAGAAGACGTGACAACCACCACGATAAAGATCTCCCGTCTCCACCACACGATAGCAGACCGACACCAAAATACAACTTGAGTGTCAGCATCCACATAGGAACTCTCCACCATACATGGCAAAAGTGAAGCCAAAACACAGTTAAAGTGTCAATGTGAACGGTAGATCACTGGAAAGTTGGGATTCAATTTCAGTGAGACTTCATAGCCAAGCCTTTTCATGCTATTCAATTATGGGCATTCGTCGAAAAGATCTCATTTCGTTCAAAAGTGCAGAAGTTGGAGAAGCGAGCGGGTTTAGCCTTACTTTTAACTCCAGAACCATCTCATCATACAAATGTCTACAGATACCCATTAAGAACCAACTGGACACTTACAAATATGGGTCCATTGTGGACAAACATATTTCCATATCTTGAAGCATTGATTGACTAAGCAAAACTCTGCTGAAAAACAACAAAAATAGCTCATCAGACATTTGATCCCAAAAGGCAACAGCATTACTGAACAATGATTCAGAATTCCTGAACCCGAACGGCTGCCTGAGGGGTGTCATACTGAATCCTTGGCCTAGATTTCTTGACTCCAGCAGCAGTGAACCAAACCTTATCAGACTTGTAGCCCTCAACAGCCACATTGGAAACCTTAACCCAAACCAGGAACTTTGTCTTCATTCCCTCTATGCCATTGAGCTTCCCCTTTGCAAAGATCGCTTTTACTCGAGTCGAGTACCTGATCACGGAAGAGTCCTTAAAGCTCAACTCGCAAGCAGCAGGCAAGTGCACGACCAGCTTGGCCGTGGCATCATCGAATTCATAACAGGTTATGTTCTGAGGGAAGAGACCCGGTGGTAAGTTGTACTCTCGCAGCAGATCTGGCAAGCTCTTCAATGGCTTTCCTGAAGAAAAGTGAAGCACATATTCATAATAGTAAGTACTTGGTACCAGTAGAGATCAAGCATTAATTGGACTTTCAAGCTAAGAAGGGTTTATCAGTAGATCTAGCTCAGTTCACTTGTATGATTTACTATATCTATGTTAACATGACATGGCATCACCAAAATTGAGTTCCCACAGCACAGTTCACAAACCATGAGTTCTAAACTGGCAGATAGACAAACACTATTTGAGGTTTCTACTTTTGATTCACTTCCTAACTCCTAATTAGAACTAAGATAAGCTCAATTAATGGAAGAGTTGCATCTTTTTCTCGAACCTTTCAGCTTGTTGAAGATCCATTTGGCCTTCTCTTCAACAGTGTTTGAAAAAGTCTGCAATCACGTCACAACCATAAGCAATTGGTAGCTAACATGAAACAAAGTTGCGATTCACTTTCGAAGCAAAAAAAATTACTTTGCAGGCAATTCTCAATCAGCCATTGCTTCAAATCTCAGCAAATTAGACAGTGCAACAAAAGTAACAATGGGAAACCAAACTCACTTCTCATCAATAATGAAGAAACAAGCAAATCCCTTCCCACACCCTAACCCACAATACCATAGACTAGATTGCATTGTTCAAAAGAGAACCCACATAAGAATCCCACTCAATCAATTGGCAGAACCAAAAATTTCCATGGATCTTACCAAGAAATAGCAGGAAATCTTGAAACCGAAAACTGGGTACTTTCAAATCAACCCACATTCCACAAATCACAACCAACAAAAGAAAGAAAGGTACAGAAAACGTAAACTGAGAAGAAGTAATGGACTTACTGTCAAATCATCACTAATATTAGTGAGCTCTTCCTTAGCTTTCTTCGAGATCCAAGAATTGCCAAGCTTCAAGCTGCCGACTTTAGTGAGTGCCTTGTCCATTTTTTATCTCTGGCTTCTGTTGAGCTACGGCTCAACCCCCTTTGAAGGCAATGGAGGTGGAGCGAGCTCAGAGGGGAATGTGATACTGAGAGGAAAAAAGACTGCAACTTTGTGGCTCCTTTCCTAGATAGCTTTTTGCAGGGAGGAGAAAAGAAGCGGAAGGAAGGTGGAAAAGAGAGGAGGAGAACATTGTGAAGCTGGCAAGCATTTAGGAAGGGACAAAAGTTCTTCAGGCTGTAGCTTTCCGTGGATTGGAAAAGCGGCGCCTCACACAGATATCGAGATTAAATTTCTGAATTGCTATTCGTCGCCCTAAAATTTAAATTTTGTCGCCCCAACAAACTGACATATTTACCCTCAACTCAATTTCTATCCACCCAAACAATCCCCTGTCTCTTCCCCACCCAAATCTGCCGCCAGCAACTACTCCCCCACCCTCATCGACCGCCCAAAACCCCTCCAACCCCAGACCCCAATCCCTCCCGCCGACCAAATTCCCTCCACAACCCAAATCCGACGCCCACCCCAATCACGACGTTGTCATCGACCACAGGGAGGAAGATGAAGGCAGACGAAGCGGATAGAAGGCAGAAAGAAGCGGACGAGAATACTACTTGTATCCTAAGTCCTACCGCCGTTGCTAATCGACCGGTGTCACTGCCAGAAAGAAGACGACGACCAATGCCACAAGGATGATTTTTTATTATTATTATGTTGCCGCGGCGGACGTACCTGTCGCCGGCGATTTTTCAACCCGGTCGCCGCTATTGAAGACAAGTCGAATTGATTTAAAAAAATGCTATTGGAATTATTAATTAACTATTACAAATATACCAATGTGATATAGAATTATTTGATATTCGTTATTTGATGCAAGTATATGAGTTTGTTTTGGATTTAAGTGTTTGAAAGAGAAATAAATGAATTAAGGGCATTAGAGTAATTTTAATTTAATTAGGGCGACAAATAAGAAATTTTAGGGCGACGAATAGCAATGCCCTTAAATTTTGGGATAATTGCAAATTTGGTCACTATAATTACTTAAAATTTTCATATTGAATAACTAAAAATATTTTATTCTATTTGTGGTCACTAAAATTAGTTAAACAATTCAAGTTTGATAATTCTTCGTTACCTTGCATACGCTCCATGTCTGCGTTCACACTTATTATTTGTATTTCGATATATTTCGACAAATCAGAACTGCCGGTTATTATTATTTTAGATTAAATGAACTTTATGGTTCGAGTTATAGAATTAGGGGATGAGGTTCACCTATTAGAGATTAGGGTATAGTATCATGCCCAAACTCCGATTAATTTGTGGCCTAAATAGTAAAACTCGACCGACGTATGGTAGTATGAACACAGACGTATATCGCAAACCTACACAACTATCGAATTAGCCACTCATGGAGACAGAATATAGGAGATGCATCATTCGAAAGACGAGGCTACCTTACTCTATAAAATGACGCTCAAGACGGAGAATGACACCTAAGAGCCATTCTACCCTCAAGCTCTTATCGATTATGGTTTCTGTTGAGTTGTTCTAGTCTTCTAGTGACAGAGTAACCCCCTTATCAAAGACTTGTCTTCAAATATTGGTTGAGGGAATATATTTATAGGTCTTTCCATTAGGTTTTCGGAGACATCTTCTAGGATGGAAAGCTACTAAACACACAATTTGTACAATTCTCGAACAAATCCAACTCAATATGACCAAATATGTGTAGAAAATGTGGAAAACAAGCCATGGAATGAGAGTATACAAATGTTTATAATGTTTTACGTGTCATCTAGTAACGTGGCACTTGAACTTTGTTTGTCCTCAAGCAAATCATATTTAAAATTGTACCACTCAGTAAACCTTTATGATGACACGTGTCTTTCTATTGTAGATAGTGGGTAACTAGAAGCTTACGAGGTCAATAGAAGACAAGGAAACGTCTAACCACTTTAAAAACCATAATTTAGAGGGGTTCATTTATTTGAGCTTTCTTCTTTCTTAACAGCTCAAGTTTTTTCAAACTTTTCAAGTTTTTTTTTTCTATTTTTCTTCTACGCATTACATTGGAAAATTTTAAATAAAATTAATGTTACAATCTCGTAACTTGAACAAAAGTAATTGTCTCTTATCTATCAAGTCCATGTAGAGTCTAGAGAGGCAATGTAAAGAGTGAAGTCAAAAAAATCTGTATGTGCCTTTTAGAAGCATTTCTCAAAAGACACTCTCATACTTAGAGAAGACTTTTGGTGGTTGGCCAAAGTATTTGAACGATTGGCACATTATGTGAGATATTTCTTTAGATTACCTCACACTCTATTTGCAGCTAGAGGTGCCAATTGGATCGGATTCGTGGATTTCTGGATTGGATTGGTGGATCCATGGATCAAATGGATTGGTGGATTCATGAATTGGATCAAATGGATTGGTGGATTGATCCATGAATCCAAATGACATCCAAGGCTTGGACCAAAATGTAAAATTTGATAAGTTTTGGTATTAAAATGTCATAATGAAAAATTTTAGGTACCAAAATGTAATTTTCCAATGATATTTTTCGTATAAAAATATAAATTTTAGGTGCCAAAATGTAAAATATAAAAAATATCGATACCAAATCGTAATTTGTCATTTGGATCCATGGATTGATCCATGAATCCACCAATCCAATTGGATTTGGATCAAATGGATTGGATTAGGTGGATAATTTGGTGAATGGAATGGATTGGATTCATGGATTTTGATCCTAATTGCCACCTCTATTTGCAGCTATTTCACTTTTTGATTTTATGTTTTATTTTCCAAAGTTGTGAGGAAATAGTTTTTCTTTTGAGTTTTTAAAACTCTTTTGAATGCATCACATATTTGTCTAAAAGGTGCACAAACAAAGAGTCCTAAAAATATTAGTGTTCACATTAATCAGTACATTATGAATGGTCATTATATTTTCTTATGTACCAATATCATCCATAGTGCTGCACTCGTCTCTCTAGGCCACGTATCAACACAAAAACTAACAAGTCAAAGTAAGTTGAATACATATTATGCATAAGAGGGTGTGACATTATTAATACTTTAAAAAAATTTACACATAGCACAAATATAGGGATGTCCCCAAATGTATATATGAAACTCGACTTTAATGGAGGTATAGGCATGCAAAACAATTGCTAAAAATACATCACAGTTTAAATTGGACAACACATAGGAGTAGGGGAAAGTAAAACCAAGTTACCTAAAAATTGCGTCATATCCATACATAAGTTGTCTAGTTTGATGTTTGATTCTTGCTTACTAAACATAAATGAATAAAAATGAAGGGAGCAAGAGGAACGTCTCTTCGACATAAAACAACACCACCAGATCAGATAGGATCACAAAGTTGGGGTGACTTAGAAGTTTGGTCATCCTACTCTCTATTTTTTAAGCAATATCACTTTTTGCATTGATATTTTTTTCCAGAGTTGTGAGGATAGAACTTTTCTTTTTAGTTCTCTTTTGAATCCATCACATATTTGTCTCAAAACTGCACAGAGAAAGAGTCCTAAAAATACAAGAATTTCATATTAACCAACACATTTCAAATGATCATTATATTTTCTTATGTACTAACATCATTCATAGTGCTCCACTAGTCTCCCTAGATCTCGTATCAACACAAAAACTAACAATTCAAAGTAAGTTGAATACATATATGCATAAGAGAGTACGTATGACATTACTATATGAGTAATTTTAGCGAAATTTTGGTGAATACATATATACTAGTAATCAGCCCCGCTCTGCGGCGGGATACGCTTCATTTGTGTAATCTTCTGCTGTCGTAACACAAAGTTAACGCAGAGTTAGGGAGCGTACAGATGAAAACAACTATTATTCTTGGCCTGGGCTCGGCGTTAGGACAGGAGGTTCAATTTCTTTTAAAACAATTGTGGAAATTTAGTATTCGCGCAGTACTACGTGACTTATGAATGACATTAGAATTATCTAACCTATTTAGTGAATTCAATAATTAAAACTATATAAGCAAAGCACCGATCAATTATTTACACATCATGACAGATAGTGATACTTTGCAATTGCATGGATTGTACATTGGTGATGTTTTGAGAGCTGATGTGTTCATAATAATATAAGCAAATGACCAAAAGAAAGGTCTTAGTGCAATACTCGTAGAGGTCATAGTTAACCCTCTTTAGAACAGTGTGGTTCGTCTCTGAACTGTGAGAACTTCAGCGTTCTAAAGGAAAATATACAGCAGATCACCAGCTATCTAAATACATAAACATCACTTTCAAAACCCAATACTAATGCAAGGACATGCTTAATAGAATGAGCACAACTTGACTTGATAATTAAAGGTGAAAAAAGTATGAAAAGGCCATCTGTAATTAAACATACAACAGTTTTGGTGTACAAATAAAATCATTGAAATGATTACTAAAAATTGCCTAGACTTGTCAAGGCCTCAATCTACCTTCAACCTGCTGCTAAACATCTATTCCATCTGTAAATTACAATAAGCTATCATAAATAAAGATATAGAATGCACAAACAATATAATGATGGTCTAGATAAGCTACATAGCACATCCATGTGAACTTAAGCAGAACCATGACTACGGTTTGATTCCATCTGCAAGACATTATATCAGTTATCAACTGATGTGGAATCTTTGAATTGGCTACAGTAAATGAAACTCCCGAATGATACTTTATGAAAGTATGATAGGCCAACTGAATCATCATCTAAAATCATCAAATGAGTAGCATCATACACAAAACAGACTAAGCAATAGCTTGTACCTTCAATTTTAGTACATAAAATACAGCAAGCAGTCAAATTTCTTACTTTTGTAATGCACAATATCAAAATCTGAAAATCAGCAGCAAGTGTGAACCATGAGCAAATCATTGAGGCAATCGAGCCTTGAAATGTTCGCCAGACAATCGACACCAGTCAACAACTCATGCCTGCAGGACAGAGAGAAAGAAGAGGATTATCAAATATTAGTGATGATAATTAAATAGCAGAAACTTCATATGAATAGATTAAGAAACAACTGAGACGACACAATGAAGTAATTCCCATATAGGCAATCACCTGGTCTCGCTGACTTTCTCCAGGAATCTGATGGCTGCCTCTCTGAATATGGAATCGTTCCTAATATCTCCCCTGAAATAATTCATCAACGATAGGGAAAACATAAGTTGCAGCTCTGGATCACCATCCACTCCTTTCTCAACCTCCCAAAACTCGCCATTTAATGCTTCAAGTTCTACTCGATTGAGAAACAGAGATGAGATATACATGACAGAGAGTGAACAAAAAGTGGTTCAATAAAACCTCAGTCGAACTAAACCACACATCAAAATGGAGAAAAAAATCATGAGAGACAGAGGGGAAGAGTCACCTGAAACCAGAATTGAACTGTGAATCGCCTTCTATTGCCCGACTGCAAAACCTTGCTGAAACGTAGAGATGGGCCATTGGATATAATTCGCTTGCTCTTCACATCAAAGCAATCCTCTGTTTACTGCCCTCTGGCTGGGATTTAACAACCACCGTTGGCCCAATTCTCCACCACGAACTCGTCACCAGCATTGCCACAGAAAAGAGCTAATTAAAAAAAGGATCACAAACTAAATTGAAAAAAACTAAACATCAAAGAGAGGGACAAAACAGAACATCAAAGTAGAAATTTCTGGCGCATACCGGAATCGGCAGATAGAGCTCTCCCCGGCTCGCCTGTGGACGACGGAACTCTTCATATACCAAATACCAAAAGTCAATTAAGAAAGAGAGGAGGATCACCAGGGAGCCACAAAATCACCCAGCAGTAAAAAGAGAGGAGAAAAACTGAAAATCTCACCGGACATCACCTTCTCAAGGTTCCCCTCCTTTGCTTGGGATTTTTCAACTGATTGATCTTCAAATCCAAGAAATCCTCTCCCCTAAATGGTATATATGTGGGTTTCAACAACCATCACCAGCCACCCAAACCTCTACCAGGAACTCGTCACATGCATTTGTTTAGAAGAGAGAAAAAATTTACAAACTAAGCCGAGAAAAAGCAAAACATCGCAGAAGAGAGATGAAGCAAAAACATCAAATTCTCAACTCATAACGTTAAGTTTTAGAAATCTCGCTCCCCTCCGTCGGATCTCGACTCCACCCAGAGGGTCACGTCCAATGCCGATCTCAAAGACTCTGGGAAAGGATGAGAGAACAAACCCATTTAGGAACAAAGAGAAATCCCGCCGTGGGTCCTCTCCAGCAGATCTACAATCCAAAACATAGATCATCAGATTGTTGGCTTAGAACCACGAAAGACCCTAAATCAGAACCCAGAAAATAAGATTGTTGTCTCTGTGCTAGCAAAAGACCCTAAATCAGAATCCCAGGAAACAAACCTCCCGGAAGCTCAGTGGGCTGTACATACTTTACTTGAAAGACAATGACTTCTCGCTTCCACTTCCCTTCCCCCACCACCCATTACCACCGCTCTCTCTGCCTCTCTGTCTAGCAATTCTTCTCCGATCCGCGAAAATCCGCAGGCCTGGAAATGGACAGCAAGGACGCGTGGTCGAGGCTCGTAATCGCTTAAGCCCTCAAATCAACGAAAAACTCAACAAAAGAAAGTAGTCGATCCGCCTTGAGGGTGAGAGATTAGAAGGAAGTTGAGAGAGGCTGAGCGATAAGAAGGAAGTTGAGAGAGAAACAACATTCATCGAGATTTCAAAGATAGAGAGAGAACTCGAAAATAAAAGAGAGGAAGAATGCAGAGAGACGGAGCTAGCTGTTTCATCTCGTCTCTCACCTCCTCCTCCTAAAAAGCTAAGCTCTTCTCCCAACCACACAGTCGATGATAGTACAACCAAGACCTCTCTGACAGCTTCTCGGAAACCGGAAGGGCAATTGGGAGATAGGTAGGCTGTATGGTGGGAAAATGGTCACCAAACTTCGTTGCGAAGGATCACAATAATCAAGAAACCCCTTTGTCTTTTCTGCTTTCTTTCTCATCATCTACCCCCTAACAGTGGTGAAGTTCCCAAAAATTCTTGGGCAAAGGGAATCACATGCGATTTGAAGGAGGGAAGGATCGAGAGAGATAAAGAGAGAAGAAGTGAAAGCGAAGGGAAAATGAGCGTGCAGCTGAGGGCAACGCGGCACACACAGAAACAACGGCGGGACCCAGACGTAGGCCACCAACCAATAAGAAAAGGCAGTCGGGCCCAATCTCAGAGCATGGACCAATGGGAGGAGGGTGAACAGTAATTTTGAGTCTAAATGAACAGGAAAATCGTGTCTAGGTGTACAGTAACGTGTCTTTGCAAATAACTTGTTCTAATATATATGGTCTTCTCCCTCATACCTTCTAGAAACTCGTGTAAGATTGTTATTAGAACTTTAAAAATGGAGTTTCTTTGGGAAGGGTAAAAAATGGCGCATTGACCGTCAACTTTTGGTGAAATTTGGTCGTCGGGGTCGCATTTTTCTCAGGGCAAGAATGTTGGTCCTTCTTATCCATGAAGGCATTGACTTCCTCCTCCTTTGTTAGATAATTCTTATGGTTTCAGCAGGAGGCTCTCGACGGCTGAGGGAGAGAGAGGAAGAGGAGTTATGAGAGATAGGGGATGCAAATAGACGATTGTGTTGTTTCGGGGGTAAGATTGCATACATATTAGGGGTTTGATGTGAGGGTGAGTTTTGGCCAATTTAACTTCAACTAAATTTTAACCATTAGATTAATTTTACATGTATTTGGTTATAAGTGTGATTAGTATGGTGCTAACTAATTAATGAGTTGACACTTATATTATGTTTGGTAACAAGGGGTGCAAATTCGAGGGGGTATAAGTTGATGGGTAAATTGTAAGAGGGTGCAAGTTGAGGGAGGGTGCAAGTGGATAGGTAAATTGTTGTTTAGATGAAAAAGTAGGAGGGTGCAAATAGAGTGTGTAGTGAGTAATTATATTATTATAAAATAGATTTATCAAAGTTATAAATTATTATCACAAAATAATAAAATAAATAATATAAATATAATTTAATAAAATATTTAGTGTATAATAATGCTAAAATAATAATTAATTATAACAATTGTAATAATCATTGATCGAGCGATCTCGAAGCTCGGAACCCAACTCGTAACTTGTCATCCTACATTGTTCTCGTGTATAATTTAACTTTAATTTGAATATGGTCAAACTTAGTCAAACACGTTCGAATCTGTAAGTTTTAACTATATGATCAACTAAACTAAGTCAACCAAACCGTTCTTCGCTACCTTTTAGATAAACATTTCTTATCTCTAATTTCCAACGCAAATTCGAGTCAACCAAGAGATCTCGATTTGACTAGACGAACATTGATAAACTTGCTATCGGAGTCAAATGGTCAACCCCGAAAATATCTACATAAGAAAAGAAATTGATAATGTTAATTAAAAATTTATTAGAAAAATAATTCCCCCCCCCCCCCCCCCCCCCCCCCCTCTTCCTTCCTTCCCTTGCACCCCAATTCGGGGGATAAGTCTAAATAGTAATTCTGCACCCCCGTTTTGTACCCCTCTACTGTTACAAATTATCCAAACGGGTGCAATGTGTTGAAAATCGTGTTTACCCCTCTCATTCTAGATGGTACCATACATCACAAATATATGTATATATATGGTGGCGTCTTCGGTGCACTAACTTTTTTGGGTGCATTCAGTGCACTCGTTTCATAACCGTCATTTTAACATGCGATTTGTGTCAAAATGATGTCAATCATCACTTATAATGTGATGAACAATAACGCACATGAATTTACACGAAAGTCCATTAAAGATTTACTTTAATTTGAAGGATTTAGAGTTTAGAGATTTAGGATTAGAGTTAGGGTTTAAATTTTGGGGCTTAGGGATAGAACTCAAAAACATATAAACACTTACTTGTGAGTATATATGATGAAAATTTTAATGGTTTATTCGCGATATGAAAATTGAAAACATCTAATAGTTGTTTATACAAATAAAACTTATATCAACCGGTTATTTCTTTTTTCATGTATGAATTACTTCGATATCAAATTTCTAAGTATGTATTTCAAATATAATTATTTATATGTCTATATCACATAAAAAATTTCAATCTTTTGGGTTTGTTACTGATTTAATTATACTAATAGGTCCGATTAGATAATGAAATGTAAAATTTATATAATATGATAATTTTCCTAACAAATTTAACAACCAATGACCAAACATCTAGCAACTAATAAACACTTTCTCTTGCTACTCTATCCTTGTAGCACAATCCTAGATGCAATTTCAATGGAGTCCATAGTTTCTACTCTCTACAACTTTGGTAGCAAAAAAAATTGTACTAAAAAAAAAAAAAAAAACATTACCCATTTTTCCTCATAAACTTCTCAGCCTTCTCATATACTGTCTCCAAATACTCCCTAAACCTAACCAAATCAATCCGAACATTTTGCTCCCTCAGGTACACCCACATCTTCGACCAATCCTTCCCCCGGTACGCCGGCGGATCCTTCAGCACCAAGCTCTCCGGATCAAACCTCGCCGCCAGGCTGCTCTCCGCCGCCGTGATCCGGTACTCCACGTACTCCAGCCCCATCGCCTTCGCCGGCCCCCCGTAGCACACCTCCGCCGCCCACTCAGTCCCGAGCGGCACCACCTGCAGGAACGCCGCCCCCGGCCGCAGAAACAGCAGGTGGGTCATCGCCGCGCCGTGCACCCCGACCATCGCGTCGGCCGAATCCATCACCGCAAAAGCCTCCCTCAGCGTCGTGTTTCCCCTAGGCAAGAACCGAACCACCTCGAACCCAACCTTCTCCGCCGCCGCCCTCACTTCTTGCTCGTTGAGCAATCCCCGACCGATTCCCATCGGCCGCGCCACCAGCACCAGCCTCGGCCGCCGCCGCCCTGATTCCGCCCAATTTTGAATCCCAGTCCGTCCGCCTCCGCCGTAGGTTTCTTGTAGGAGGAGGCGAAATTGAGTGAGGTTTTGGCCTCCCGGCATCAGATTGGGGTTCACGGTGGCCATCCCGTGGTAGATCAGCCCAACAGTAGCGGATCCGAAGCAATGCGTCTCCGCCGCCGCCGTGCCGTTTCCAATCACGACGATTGGGTGCTTGGTGAAGGAGCGGAGCAGGTCGGCGTACTTCCTGATCCACCAATCGCCTGCTTCGGAGACGACGAGGATGATGTCGCGGTCGGTGGGGAAGAGGGTGTTGACGGTGACGAAGAGAGGGATGAATCCCTCGCTGAAATCGTGGAAGAAGTTCCCGGTGTACCCTCCGGCGCTGAACACGACGGCAGGGAGGCCGCCGTGCTGGATCTGGCACTGTGGGCTTGTTGGGCCGGACTGCAGGGTCAGTTCTCGGATCCCATTCATTGTGTGGGCCTCTGCTTTTCTTGGGTAAGGCTTGATTCTGTGGACGGCTGATGGGCCGGTGGCGTGGAATGTGGAGGTGGCGGGATCGAGGACCGTGGGCCCGTTGATTGTGCAGAAGTCGTATGATTTGTGGGACCTATCGCAGGTGATTCCTGGAGAGGGATTGACAGCTGGCTGAGCTTGCGGGCCCCACTGAGATCCTGTTTTCCGGAAGCAGAATGAAAGGACAGGAGAAGAGTTATTTTGCCGTTCCAGCTTTTTTCCTTTCTTTATCCTTTTCTTCGGAGGAAGAAACTTGGAGGAGTTTGGATGAATTGAAATTGTACAATCAAAATAATCATAAAAAATCATTGCACTATCAATTCTAAATTATGGTGTTATGTGTATGGTTGGGTATCGGTTGATTCGGTTCAAAAAGGGTCAAATTGACTTAAAATCCGACAAACAATAAAGGAAAAATTATGACTAAAACGAGACTAATTTGGTTTGATTATGTTCGGTTGAAATTCAATTTCGATCCATTTCTTCATCATACTTAAAATAATTCATAGAAACAAAACCGAATCGAAAAAATAATCTATTCGATCCAAGGTGTGAACCGGATCGGCAGATCGTTGCCCACCTCTACTTATGGGTAAATATTATTTTGTTACACTTAATTTAAAAATATGCATTCATGAACCTTATCGTTAATGTAATCAAAATTTCGATTTGACATACATCATATTAAATTAAATCGAGTCGGACGATTACGCCACAATCGTAATTTAAATAACAGAGCCAAAAAACGAGAGGGAAAAGCAGTACACACACCTGCGAAAGACGGTGACCAATTCCAATAGTAGCTGGACCACAAATGCGTGAAAGACGAGGGATTGATGATGAGCAACACAAACAAGAACATGAAGATGGGAAGAACCCAGTAACCAATGATCTTATACCTATGATCCGAATGATCCTTCTGTTTCATCGTCATCATCGTCGCAGGTAACTGCAACTTCTCATCAAATCAAACCCACACAATAAAACCCGTTTTTATGTGCGGAGAGGTTGTCCTATTGAGCTGTTTTGTGTGTGGATTTGTTTGGAAGAATGAAGAGAGACCATATAGAGGGAAAGAAGGAAAGGAATTGATGGAGGTTGAATTGGAAATGGGAAATCTGATAAATATATATATGGAAGAAAATTTATAGTGGCATGCAACTCAGCTGATATACCATATATCTATGTATCGCCTAATTGGATTCCTTTTCTTGGTCTCTGTTGTTTTGGTAATTGTATGCACGACTCATCATCTCGCTTCAATTTTTTTTTTATAATTGTTTTTATTATTATTATAAATGGATGCAATCGCATCCCAGCGTTCATTCAAAACCAACCGAAGTTCGAAAAATTCGATGACAGTCATACACAATGTAATGAAACAAGAGCGGGATGTGAATTCGACAAAGCATGGAAATCAACTGGCAACAAGTGTCAGTGGTTAGCTAGATGATCCACCACACTTATTGCCCTCTCGAAAGATACGGGAAAGGTGAACTTCCCATCGATGAGTTAGCAGTTCTTTGAATCTGTAAATAATAGTTGTGCGCTGGTGGCCACCCTTTCATGTGCTCTAGAGAAGCTGGATCGCAGAAAGAGAATCAGGATCCACTCGGACACGACGATGCCCCATGTCCCAAGTCAACAGGAGCCCTTCAATAGTGGCTATCAATTATGCATGGGTGTGATAGAGCAAATCTTAGGTTAATCATGCACGGTGAAAGACAACATTATGGGTGATATCGAATCAGACCACTCACAGCTGCATGGTCGTACCAGCATTGATAGAGTCGTCGGAGTTGAGAGTGACCCACTCAAGAGGTAAAACGATGCTAACATTAGATGTTCATGGCACCATTTTGTATAAGAGAAGCTAAATATAAAAAATGTAAAAAAGAATGAGATTTCAATCAATTCAATTCCTATAGGTAGAGGTGGACATTGGTGTGGTCAGATCGCACCAAATCAAATTAAATTTCATAAATGGTCAAACCAAATCGCACAGTCAAACTTACAGTCTACATTTTTGTGATTCGCGGTAAGTTCAAACCAAAACCTTGTGGTTTTGGTGTACCACAAACCGCAATCAATTGAGGTAGTTCATTTTTTATCCAATCGGAGTTTGCATATCACATCATCAGTTGGTTACTCCCATGTCCCCATGTTTCCTCATACTTCAATATACAATCACATGATCCAAATAACACACACACTAAATCATTCGTAAATATCAAGTTGGCTGACAACTCTATATGTCACCCTAGAGGGATTCTTCGAGATATCTAAATTGAGATTGGACCCTTTTCCTTCTATCTTGACTTCATGGTACTAGATATAGATAGTTATCGAGACTATTTCATCATATTTGGAAGACCATTCCTCACATCCTCCAGAGCATTGATCGATATTCTTGCGCAACAACTCACCATGATAATCGGTAATGTCGAGCATATAATCAAGGTCTCCATTGGTCGACAATGAATGTATGTTCTTTAACTCCTACCTCGAAGGATCTGAGCATGAGTCCTCTAAAGCCCTACTTCCAAATTTATGGGGAGTACGTCAGTACAACTCTTCTAGTTGATATGGGTAAGGAGTTGGAATTCCATCCTAATGACCCTGATCTTAAGATTTCATCGCAACCTTCTGACATGAAAGAAAAATTAGGCTTTGGCGACTATAGTGATTTTCATGTAGCCCTTATCAATCATGAAATCGAAGTACACAATAGGAGGCTACATATCCAAATATAAAAAAAATCTCCCCGTATAGATGGGATTAGGGACCGGTTAGCGTGACTACCCCCTAAAGGGGTCTGATTTTCGACATTCATCTTCTTTACCGCCCATCCCCAATAGTCTTAATCTAATGGTAGGAAGTAAACAATTGGTAATTTGTAATTAATTCAGTAATTAATTATCCCAACATACATCGGAAAGGGAAAGAAGTGATTCCCACACATAATTTAAAATTCATTCCCCCTTACCTTTTTTTTATGTCACCGTTTTATTTCCCTCTCTCTCTCTCTGTTTAGAATCCGGTCGTAACCCTTCACCGCCGACTCATCTAATCACTATCCTCCGCTGTAACCCATCATCTCCTTAACAACAGAGGTCGGCCCATCCCTCCCATCGGACGTCCTCCGTCTTCCATCCTGAACTCTCAACTTTGAACCTGGTTTGTCTTTTTTGTTTTTCTGCTGCGCTTGATCGATTCCCGTCGACGGCCGTCTATCTGCGCCAGAGCTTATATAAGCCGATAGTGGCGGCGGCAGGATTTTGCTAAGGTGAGGCAATTTTCCTTGAACGACCACAATTCATATATTTATTCGTCTCCTTCAGTATAGTATTGCACGAAAGTTGTAGATATATAGCTGTAGTGGCATATTGTGTTATTCATGCAGTGGTAGATCTATCACTTTAGTGGTAGATCGATCAATGCAGTCGTAGATCTATCATTGCAGTGACATAGTGTGTCTGTCGTTGCAGTGGTAGATCTATTAGTGCAGTGACATATTGTGTCTTTCGCTGCATTGGTAGATCTTTCACATGCAGTAGTAGATTTATCGTTGGAGTGGTAGAAATATCACTACAGTGGTAGTTCGTTGTAATGTTTTTGTGTGTAGGGCTATCACTGTAGTAGTATTTACAAAATCATTATGGTTGTTTAAAGTACAACTACATTGTAGTTATGTTTAGTTCTTAGAGCATCTCCATTGGAATTGCATTTAGAATTGCATTATGACATGACATTCATTTGCAATTGCATTATGCAATTGCATTGATGTAGATCACAATTCCATCTCTGCAAGCTTGCATATAATGCAATTATGGAATGCAAGCCACATCATCTTTTTTATTATTAAATTATTCATTAATTTTATTATTTGAGTATTTATGTTTTAATAAATTAAATTAAAAAATTAGTTGCAATTGCAAGTTAATTGCATTGATGTGGTGCAATGCAAGTAAGATGAATTGGATTGCAAAAAAATAAAAATAAAGTAACAATAAAAAAGCAAATGCAATTGCATCAATGGAGATGCTCTTAGTATTGACTTATTTTCTAATGAAACCAGGAATGACAAGGACGAAGAGAACGAGCCCTAAGGTGCCAGCAGGCAATAAACCTGCAGGCCAGAATCCTGGGGGCCAGAAGGCTATTGACAAGAAGCCTGCAACCTATGTTTCAAGGCAGGTGAAAGTTGGGGTAAATCAGACTCCTTCCTCTAGTGCGGGTACCAACAAGAAACGACGTCGTGGAGAGAAATAGCAGAGGAGGGAGGGGGGAAATAGAAACCAGGGGAATGAGAGTAGAAACACCACTTTCCCCATCCAGCTAAATTGCCCCTTCCCATTCATAATTAATATGACATTTAAGACTTTCCCCATTCATATTTATTAAAACTGCCATTAATACTTGCCTAATAATTAAGTGTAAAATGGATCAATCAAAAGGAGGGTGTCAAAAAGCAGACCCCTTTAGGGGTTAGCATAGTATTCGACCCCTGGGATTAGAACTCACCCACACGAGTTCTTCATGACACCGCCTGATGATTGGGGAAGAGAATGTATCTTTGATCCGAATTGATCGATTGGCTAAATCACCAATGTCTATGCCTAGTTCAAACTTCAAAGGCATAAAATAGAGAGTGCTAAATTGAAGGTAACCCAAGTCTAACTTAAAGACAGACAAATGCAAGTCTTGCCGTGAGATGGCTTGAATTTTCATCTCGTTGTAATTTTGGAGATTTTACTTTATTATCAGTAGAGTTTGTGGCTATCTTTCCTGTTTGGAATGTGCTTCAAATTTTAGAAATCAAATATGTGAGCAATGGATCGAGGTTTGTCACTTCCAATCTTTGCCTGAATCCTTGATCATAAAGTTATAAGGTACGCTTTGCTTGTACTAATATTGGTTTTCATGTGTCTAAACATGTATGCTTATACTTAGAAACCTTAAGAATCAATAGCCAACGAAACGAACAAAAACACTCCACCCACCCAAAATGGCGGCCAAAACGACGCCTCTGCTGCTATTTTTCTTATTGGCAGACAATTTTAGGACTTGGGTTTTATACCCCCAGAACCCTTGGTCACTTTTTTTCCATAGAATGCTCAACTCCGAAACTCCATTTTTGGGGAGTTTCCTCTCCAAACCTCCACCATAACTCCATTCAATAACCACCATTTCACTTTCTGTAACCTTCAATCACCTTTCACAAGCATTTGCCTACCAAATATTTCAGCTATCCTACCATTTCAGAAATTGGCGGCCTAATCCCCCATACGACTGCCGATTTCCTTGATTTGCCTACCATGTCAAGAATCATTTGAACCCAATAACTCGAATTGTTGAGAGAGGTTTCCATAATGAATCTTATACCACACACTAACAAGAGCATCTCTCTTTGCCGAAGCTACAGTCTCCAACACCAAGATCCTCCTCTTGCTGCATCCACCAAGCAGATGTAGGAGGATGAGGTCCCCTTTCGCACCCCCTGAGCCACTCACCACGGAGGACCTTTCGGATGGCATAGACGACACATATGAGAAGTTAGATATTGACCCGAACGAAAACACCACCATGATTTCATTAAACCTCGATTAAGACAGATTAAAACCGTTAATTTGAACTAAAAAAAGTTAGATTAAAACCATTTAATTTTAACCCATTTATAACAGATTAAGAATAACCATGAGGTGGTCTTAGTTCGGGAGGAAAGGATAATGGTTTTGTTTGGTTTGGTTTGGCAGCCGAGTTTAAGCAAAGTGAAAGGATTAAAGAACTAGTAAAAATAGAGAGTGAGAGTGGAAAAAGACTAGATCTTAGAAGGTGGAACATCACCATCCCATATGTATCATTAAGAGTTATGATAGTTGGGAAATGTTGCTGCTGCTGCTGGAGAGTCTGGTAGATAGGATGAGTCTTAGAGGTTTGCTTGTGTTCCAAGTCATGGGTGCACACTCGTTGTATTGGATCATTCGTTATTAATCGAAAAGGATCTGATTTAACGAAGAAGAAGAAAAAAAAAAAAATAGACAGAGAGAAGTTGTAATTTGCAAGTTTTCCATCAGATTCTCAAAATTGACAAATTGATTGGCATTACTTTATTATTGTTCCCCTCAGAAGCCATCAACGGCAAAAAGGGAAGAGGACCCAATTGAATTGAATGATCTGTGAAAGCGAAATAATTCAATAATTTCTTCTTCTTTTTTAACAAAAGATCACTTCTATTAAAAAAAAAAAACCAAATCAGTTATACAAATAAATCTCCGCTCTAAGCCAATCCCAGAACTGAAACCCACAACATCCTACAGAAAGCAAATAAAAGACTGTCTTAGCCATCAAGATTCAATAATTTCTGCTAGGAAAGTTTTATATATTATTCTCTAGCCAATTAGCTCATATTTGCATCCCTCAGTTACTAAAAAACATTTTGGATTCTCAGACAAATAATTAGTATTCTTAAATCAAATCCAAAATGTCAATTTTCACAACATGGGTCAAACAAAAGGTTCCGATTTCCGATTGTATAAAAATGATTATAAACATGGCCCGGCTCTTGTTTGATTACAATTGATATAAGGAATACTAGAAAATGAATGTATGCCGCGATCTTGTGGTTGAGTTTTATCTCACTATCTACACATTCATTCATTAATTTGTTGTGTCTGAATTATGGGTTGACAAAATAATTAATAGAGCAAAACATATAAATATACAAAAAATGGCACATCTAGTTTTTATGTTAGGATCCATGGTTGTGCAATGGCACTATGAAGATAAACACTCTCATGTTGATTTCCATCATGATTCTTAAGTAGAGA